GCAATATCTCATCGTTCAGGGTTTGTTTTTTTTTTTTTAGAAAGGCATGTCTATCACATCTGCTGTGGTGTCCTCCCTCTAGAGTGTCTATGTTGGACTCTTCTGCCTACTATAAAATTAGTAGGAGAGAAGGCCTTCGGGGAACAGTCGAATAGATTGTTCAACGGTCAAACTCTATGCCTCGGCAGAGAGGAATTCGGACGAGGCTTTGCCGCAGGGCAAAGTTTCGTCCAGGGAGGTAGACAGTCCCTGAACCCGTCTAGGCGGGTTCAAAGGGAATATTTTTGGCCGAGCCTACGGGCTCGGAGTACCCACAATAAACCGGCCTTGTGCCACATACACCCTCGTGGGGTGGGGGCTGTTAGATATTAACAGTCGCATAGATTGTTCAAACTGTTGAACTCTCTTCCTCGGCAGAGAGGAACCCGGGCTAGGTTTTTGCCGAAGGACAAAGTTTCGTCCGGGGAGGTAGACAGGCCCTGAACCCGTTGATACGGGTTCGAAGGGAATATTTTTGGCCGAGCCTACGGGCTCGGAGAACCCACGGTAAACTCAGCCTCGTTGGTGGGGGGGGCTGTTAAATATTAACAGTCGACTAGATCTGTTCCAGCTGTGCTGCTCAAACTCCCTACCTTCGGGTAGAGAGGATCCGCAGACGAGGCTTTGTCGAAGGGCAGAGTCTCGTCTCGGGAAACAGCTACCCGACACCGTTTATACGGGGTCTATGGGGAAATTTTGGCCGAGCCTACGGGCTCGGATTGCTTCACATTAAACTCGGCCTTGTGCCACATCCTACCTCATGGGGAGGCTGGTAAATATCAACAGTCGAATAGATTGAACGCTGGGTCAACCGACACACACTCACTAGTCGTGTAATACTCTTCTGTTGTACTTACTGTTTAATATATGATATATCTGTAACACTTATTTTTTTATTTCTTTAACCATTTACTTAGTCACAATAATATCCGAAATGTAAGCAAAGCAATTTTCTAAATTTCTAAAATATTTGTTATTATTTCAAACGATGTTTTCAGTGGATACCGGTTTTTGAGTAAACGTCACTTTTCTTTAAACAGTGTTCATTTCTTCTACCGACCTGCGAAGACATATTTTCTTTATTAAATGTTTCTCTAATGCGCAATCCAGTAGACGAAATAAATACTGTTTAAAAAAAAAACGGGCAGTTCTTTTCAAATACGAGTATTCGCTAAAAATAACGTTTGAAGAAATAAAAATATGTCGGATCAAAAACATAAAAGAAACTCTAATTGAAAATTTTAAAAAATATATATACATATATTACCACAGTTTGTACCAGGACGACTCTCGCTTTCCCTACTAAGATTATTATGTAGATTATATAACTGAAATATCTGAAAAGATAAAGACGTTGGTTAGATCCAGTGACTAGACCCAAAGAGTTGTGAGTTCGATACCAGGGTACAACAAAATGAACCAAAAAACTGGGAGAGTTGAGTTTAAGGGAAATAACTGAGACACCCGGAAGAGGCATGGCACGTGGAAATAGAATAATTTACCCTGGTGGATGAAATAAAGGGTTCGCTTCGAAATTCCAATCACCTGAAGAAGACTGCAGCGTACAACAGTCGAAACGTTGTGAATATGGCAATGAGGATGAGGATAACAGTCCGAATAATGTAAATAATGCAAATATATAATTGCACTGTTAATATTTTCTATAGAAATGAATCGTAGATGACGTTATTATAGAAACGCATTGCCCAATGTTTTACGAGAAAAATGCATTACAATTAATTTTAGATTTTCACTTGTCAAAAGTTAATGCAAGTATTACTGAAAATATAGGCCATTTTAACCTATAATATAAATACATTCTAATGATTTTACTACAGAAATGCAAAATCAAGAACGTGATTGCCAGTGGTCAGGAACTGCAGCAATCATTACCAGCAGAATAGAGATATTGTATGCATAACTTAAATGTCAGTCAGTTATGCGCTATGCGTGATACACGCTTAGGCGATCATGTATCTTTCGATACATGACTGACGGTGCAGATTTTTCCCACAGTATGTTGTCATTTCTTTCTGCGGTAGGCCAGTTGCTATCCAAGACTATAGAACCCGGTCTGTCCTGCTACTTACTCATAGATGGGGGAGAAGAAAAAGATTCATACCTTTCCCAAGGGTATTAGCGCGTAAGTGAATGTAAAGGAATTGACTGGAATTCGAACTCGGCTCTCCGATTTCTCAATCCGAGCCGCTATCAATTATTCCAAATTTATTATAGAAATGTACTGAAAAGTATTTAACAGCGGAAATTAATTGAAAATCAAGAAAAATTTACTGTAATTCTTCAAAATTGATATAAGCCTTACTAACTTAATAGGGATGTTGTATGCATAATAGGAGGTTCTGGACAGAGGTAGTGCCGTTGATGTCTGGCACGCTGCACTTTCAAGTGGATGGGTATCACTGGTCCTCACCCATCTCCTAAATCTCTCATGTGATGGTTCCAAGTTGGCGGGGCCCCGGTAAATCGTTTTAGCTGACGTGCTAAACTCAAGTGAATTTGGAGTGTTAACATGGTACCACTGGGCGAAGGACCTTTTCGGCGTAGGTCATCGGCCAGGGCGGAAGGGTTCCTCAGATGAACTGAAACGGCCACGTGTTCGCGACCAAGGCGAGACACCTAGCTGGAAAACACGGGCTGTGGTGTGACCTGGAGAGGGATGGGATCCGCCAGGTTAAAAAGCCCAAGACACGTCACATGTTGAGCACGCCAAGAAACCATTCGCGGAGACCCAGGCTCTGGCACGCAACCGTGGCAGACGGAGGAGAATGGTGGACAGCTCAGCACGTCGGGCCCACAATGACTCCTTCCGGGGATAAGGGCGAAAGAAGAAGAAGAAGAAGAAGAAGAAGAAGAAGAAGAAGAAGAAGAAGAAGAAGAAGGAAATAATAATAATAATAATAATAATAATAATAATAATAATAATGTACTGCAAATGTATGATAATAGTTTTACTACTGAAATGTAATTAAACGCATTTAACTAGAAATTAGTTGAAAATCAAGACGTATTTTCAGTGGTCTGGAGTTAATGTAAGCATTACTGACAGAATAGGGATGCAATGAAAGAAAAAAAAGAAATTTTTCAAATGGATCTTTGGTAGTATAAATACTTTTCAGTAATAATATACAAATGATATAAATACAAAACGATATTTATTTGTTTTACTTCATTGTAGTTCTGTGATTTCGTTCTTGATTTCCAGTAAGTCAAAAATATGGGTGGCCTCACTTAGACTGACCACCATTACTCGCATATTCACAATAAAAGACAAACGTTTGATGGAAGAAATAATAGACGCTGATCATGATGAAAAAAAAACAAACAAACAAACAAAAAACCCAATAACCAATTGGTCTGAGCTCAGTAGATAACATTTCATCCAGGAAGATAAAGACGTGGATGTTGACAAGAGGTCTTGATTTTACTTATCTTTAATTTATTTTATTTATTTGTTGCATTTAATCATCGTCAGTTATCTTTGATTACGCTGCTGGATAGGGAGTTTTATTTTTCACCACCAGATGTCGCCAGGCATCAAGAACAACGGAATTTGGAAGAATTCCTACAGCTGTTGTTCATTTCTTTTTTTTTTTTTTTTTTTTTTTTTCTTTTTTTTTTGTTTTGTTTTTTTTCAATTAACCCCTTCGGATGATTATCGCGATGACCAGAGTTTTTTCCCCCTATAATCAGTAAACAGAGCGGGAAGTCAAAGCTTTCAACAATGGTTCAAACCTCTGTGGGTGGTTGTGTATATGAGAGAAGACTGATTTCTTTTATAGTATCGAAAAAAATATGGAGGCAGATTACATCAAATAAAGATTAAGAGATTTTTTCAATCATGCGCCATTGGCCTATTACATTAGAATGTCTGTCATCTAGAACATAACCTTTTTTTAATTCATTATCACCACTGTTATATATATATATATATATATATATATATATACACATATATATATACATATATATACACACATATATATATATACATATATATACACACACAGACATATATATATACACACATATATAAATATATATATATATACACACACATATATATATACCACACACACACACACACACACATATATATATATATATATATATATATGCAATTGTGTATTTAGGCAGCAATCCCTCTTTTATACAAGTTTCATTAAAAAGAACTGACAGGAAACTGCAGTTAGGCAGGTAGTTTTTATTATTTTTCTTGTGTTCGTATATGGGATTTCTTTTCTGGACATAAAGTGTGTACAATCTGCCCAAATGTTCTATATATTCGAGCGCTTTCGGCTATTTATTAGGCATTATCAAGAATTTTTATTTCTAATTTTAACTGAATCTGTAGATTATATATATATATATATATATATATATATATATATATATATATATATATATATATATATATATATATAAAATTTTCACCTAGTTAACCTGTTGAAAATGACATGTATAAACGTAAAAGACAATAGGAAAACTGTAGACGCGTTTCGTCTCATGCGCATTACTCTAATTTTGTATTTATAGTATCAGTATTATTATTATTATTAGTAGTAGTAGTAGTAGTAGTAGTTGTACTAATGACATCTATTGAGCTACCAGTTATTATTATCTTTATATTATTATTGAATAGTGGGAGGATAAAGGTGGTATTCTAGTTCTATAGTAGTAGAGATGTTGATGATGATGATGATGATGATGACCGCATTTATTATTATTATTATTATTATTATCATCATCATCATATGGTGAGTGTTTTTATGTTTTTCACTTGCGTAACACGTGCCGTGTATTTTTTTAACCTCCCCTGAACGTTCTTATGCACTTTGCAGACCGACTGCCCGGTATATTAAACGTGGCGATGAAAAGACGTTCGTGTTAAGACGATAAAAGCAAGAAGTTGGAAGGCAGATGTAAGATGAAATCAAAAAATATCAGAAGAAGAAGAAGAAGAAGAGGAAGAAGAAGAAGATAATAATCGTAAGGAAGAATGAAAATGAAAGGTCGAGCGATAGAGTGAAATCATCTGGGGAATTGGAAGAAACCCTCGCAAAATGGGCAATGGAGGTTGCTGAAGAAGAAGAGAAAGAAAAATTGGGTTGTGATATAAATAAATAAATGAGAAGAATGAAGAATAAGAATGAGAAAAGCCGCAAAAGAAAAACCATGTTGAAGAGAAAGCATTTATTCTGTGATGAAATGTACTTAAGAAATGTTAGTAAAATGCCTTCTGTAACTCCAACACAAAGAAAAGGACTTGTATTCAAAATAATATAAATGGAGATAGATGTTTGTTTACGGCTAATTACATAGCTTTTCGGAACAATTACCATGAAAATATTTAACGAAGAGGCACGCGGATTCAAGTTACAGTGGTGAGAAAAGAATTGAATCTGCGATGCCATGTCAGGACCGATAACATTGCAGATTCTTCTTTGTAAGCCTGAATTCGAACACCAAGTATATAGATAGGCTGTGAAATGATATACCCATTCAACCAGAAATCTGATACTTCTCCGTAAAAACTTGCCACTATAAAATTACACAGAGACTACATGGAAACTTGGCAGAGGGTCATAGAGCGATGATTTAATCTTAGGTAGGACACACAGAGACCACACTGATGCTATATTCAACTAACTCCCTATACTGCGAAAAGATGTAACGCGGTAGGGTTCATATTTTGCCGTGTGCGCTCTGACAAAAATTACACGATGCTCGCAAACAATGTTACGAATGCATTGGGTCCTACGTACACATAGAGTAAGGTGGTGTGCTGGCCCATGGTTGGAATACCCAGGGCCAAGCTTGCCTCGTTTCTTGCCCGAAGACAAGTAAAAGAAGTCGCGTCCTGCTATAGAAATCTCCTGACAATAAGGCGCCTGCTGTAATTACTCTTCCACCCCAGGTTCCGCGCTGGTATGATGGGACACGAAGTCGGTTTCAACTGGAGTGTACATATGCGTATATGAGCCATATATGGGTAAATAGCTGGACAAACCGGGTTCTATACCCTTGGATGGCAACTGGTCTACCACAGAAGGAAATGGCAACCTACTGCGGGAAAATATCTATCTCGTCAGTAATGTATCGAAAGATACATGATCGCCTAAGTGTGTATCACGCATGGCATATAACTGATGGGCCACGGACAAAAGTTGTGTAGAACACACAGATCCTCTGATCCGAGACAGAAGTGCCGTTCTATACAACAACAAAAATGATATCATCATTTATGACTAGCCCTCTGTTATCGCCGATGCCCAGGTAATGTAACGGGTATAGGCGCTAAAATTTGGATTGACGAGCCGAGTTCCGGCCTAGTCTGTTCTGTTTACGTTTTGCACTAATGATCTAAGGAATGGTATGAATCTATCACCTTTTTTTTTAACTATGGGTTAAATAGCAGGATAGACTGGACTCTCTAGCTGTGGGTGGCACGAAGACGTCATGACAATTCGCAGTTATTAAAATTAAAAGGATTCTGGGGAGTGCTATGATCACCTATGAAGGGACACGGCATTTAGAAAAAATCTATGCTCATATATATATATATATATATATATATATATATATATATATATATATATATATATATATATATATATTCACCTAAGACATTATTCTTCTTTCATCATTATGTTTGTTTTACCCACAGGAGATGAGAACTGACTCTTGGGTTCGTCAATGTTTCGCTAGTGTCTCTCACATTTCGTGCTTGGCCAACTAAGTGTGTAATGGTGTCACATGCGAAGAATATTAAAATTTCTTGCAGTTTAGACGAATAATTTCTATCTCTTTTGATTCTCTCTTCTTTCAATCTCAGTCAGTCACCATTTCTCTCTTTCCTCTCTCTTTCCCTCTCTTTCCCCCCTCTCTCTCTCTCCACACACACACACACACACATATATATATATATATATATATATATATATATATACTACTGCATGTCTCCTTTTGTCTCTCCTCCTTTTATTCTCTCATCTCTAATTCTTTCCCTTGACTCTCTCCATCTTTCTCCCTTTGATTGTCTCCTTCCCTCCTTTCCTTTCTTCCCCCTCTCCCACTCCCACTCTCTCTCTCTCTTTCTCTCTATTGATCTCTTACCAACCTTATCTTTCCCATTTCTCTCCCTCTCGCCCTCTCTTATACGCTATATCTTTCTTCCTGCCTCTTTCCATCCCGCTCCACCTTTCTCTCCTTCTCTCTGTCTCTTGCTATCTCTCCCTTCCTCTGCTTCTTTCATCACCACTTTCTCCCACCTCTCTTTCTCCCCACTCCATTTTTCTATGCCATTTCCCAACAGTATACTCGGCACCGTCTGGGTCGCAAGCAAAAATAAAAATAAACATAATTTCTTTTCTTTTTCTTGTTTTGTTTTCCTTGTATAACCCCAATATTATGTTTGCTACTCAAAAATATATATATATATATATATATATATATATATATATATATATATATATATATATGTATGTATCAAATGAAATGAACATGAATATCAAATATCGAATGATTACCATAATTTTCTGTCTCATCCAGTGTTGTGTTAATTTCTACAACACTGTAATTGCCATCGGTGTTAGAAAGCTTCCTAGATTAAAGTAGATATCTATTCGAAATATAAGACCTTTATTAAAACTATTTGTTTATTTACTTATCATATATTATTTATTCTGTACATTTTCTATAAGTCATTATCAAATAACGTGGAAAGAGTGTTTGGAATAATGGACACTCACAGTACATATCGAAGTCAAAAGGGACTGGACGAAACGGCGAGTAACCTGGCTAACGAGCTTGTGTAATTACGTGGCATGACGGGGAATAGGAAGGCTCTTAAAAGACAAACATTGCTACAAGGCTTGGAAGTTGTGGGGAGCCATAATCAATGACACAGCACAGAAAAGATTACCTGGAATTGTTGTTTGGATTATTGATCTCGACCTTCTTCTTCTTGTTGTCACGCCATCGTTTGGACAGATCAATTTCCGGCCTTCTTCATGTGTACAATCGGTATCGAAAGATTTGATCATCAATGACCAAAAGTCCTTAGAAGATTTAATGCATAACAATGGTAACCCCGCCTTCCATTGTCGATCTCAAAGTTCCAATGTTTGAGTGATTGATTTGTTTTTACGGATTATCAACCCTTTGCAGATTATTTATCGAAAAATTTTTAGATTGTAAGATTTTTTTTAGGTAATAATGATTTAGCGATGCAAGTCTAATTAACCTATAGCGAGGGGGAGAGAAGATGCATTAATACCTCTCTCAAGTGTATTTGCACGTAAGTGAATATAACAAACCCAACTGCAATTGGAACCTGGCTCTCCGATTAACATTTCTGTTCAATTATCCATTTCACCCCCACGCAGATCCAAGCTTACGGCACCTGCCAAACTTCCAATGGATTCCCCTTGATTTTTTTCGACCCGACAGCCTGGATATGCATTTATCATTTATTTACATGGCCGGACGTAAGTTGCCCGTATAGTTTATTAAACAAAAGCATCAAAACGTTCATTATTTCATGTCCTTACACAATTATCATATTTTAGTATCAAGTTGGGCACTTCGACATGGGGTAATGTTTAGCAAGCTTGTCTCGCGAGATCAATTTGCAACTGAGTAGTGAGTTCGATCCTCCCTGGGTGCTCCGTACTTTCGGCCTTGTGTCACATCTAAGCTACGCTTACATTATCCAAGTCAATTGTTTCACATTTAAATTGGCGTTAGCGCGCCGATATGAGTAAAATTTTCAAGAATTATGTGAATTTCAGATTATAAACTTTCTTTTAATTAGAAGTACCGTAATTTACCTTCATCCATAATACGCACACCTAAAATTGTGCTGAAACTGTGGGAAATTACTTCTACTCATGCATAATACGCACCCCTTGTTTGATAATCAAACCCTATAAATTGTACCTCTCCAATTTCATTACGGCCAGCGTTTCCTACTCTTATTTTTAAAAAAATGGTTTTAAACATAGAATAATATTATTCTAATTTAGTCTTATGATAATTCTTATTTTACTTTACAGTAATTTTTTAAAGATTTTTTGTAGCGGTGCATAATACGCACCCCTGGTTTTGCTTATTATTTTTAGAAAGAAAAATACATATTATACATGAGGAATAATGTATTTATGATAATGTGTGAGATATCATTTTGCTTCTCGGGTTTGTTCATTATATTGCAAACGATTTTATGTAAATATTACGGTTAATGACATATTTTTTTCTAATTCAACGTGTATAAAGATTAAAATAGGTTGTAAAAATATTTTATTGTCAAAAGAGAAACAAGATATTGGGTGATCAGTACATCATGTTGAAAATTACGAAGAAGTGATCATAGAACAATAGAAAAAAAGAAATTTAATTATTTAAAAATAAAGGCAATAGTTTTAAGAATGTGACTAATGCAGATTTTTAAAAATTTGAGAGTTAAAAGCAATGCCAGACAAATGTGAATATTTGAATATGCTGACGTTGCGAATGTAAACTGACAGAAAAGATTCAGAATATTAAGAACAATGCCTAATAACATAAAAGAAAGCAAACTAATTGTTAATCGTAGAGCCAAGTTCTAATTCCAGTTGGGTTTGTTATATTCTCTTACTCACAAAATATCCTTGAGAAAGGTATTAATCCAATTATTCTCCCGCTTCAGCTATGGGTCAATTAACCTTGTGTCACTAAATCATTATTATCTCTTATGGCCATATCACGTTGAAAAGAGATTCTCATGCGATCACCACTGTTAAGCTAAGTCGAGCCTGGTCAGTACCTTGATGGGTGCCTGCTTGAAGATGCCAGGTAAGCTAGGATGTGCCGGTGGCGTAATAGATAAAGGCTCAGATCGGAAAGCCGAACTCTAATTCCAGTCGGATTAGCTATAATCGCTTATGCACAAATGTCATTGAGAAAGGCATGAATCCTTTTCTTCTCTCCCCCGGTTATGGGTTAAATAGCAGGACTTGCATCGGTAAATCATTATTATCTCCAAAAAAAGTCTTACACTCTAAAAATATGTCATGGCTTTAAATAGCCCACAAAATGTTGATAAATCGTAAAAAACACAAATCAAGGAATCAATTTCACTTATATGAAGACTAGGTCGTAAGAAAAATTTACTATCAAAAGAGAAACAAGATATTTGTAAAGTAATTCGGTGATCAGGACATAATGTTAAAAATTACGAAAAAGTGATCATAGAACAATCAAAATAGAGCAATTTAAATTTTGGTAAGATAAGGACAATAGTTTTAAGAATGTGACAAATGGTGAGTTAAGAAAAATTGAAAGAGTTATAAGCAATTCTAGACGAATGTGAATATTTGAAATGTAAATGTAAACTGAGAGAAAAGATCCCAAATAATAAGAACATAGGCTAAAGACATGAAAACTAATGGTAATGGTAATATTAGCCGTTTCCTTATAAGGAAACATTCGGCATTCATTGACCGAGCAGCCGGTACTACTGTCGATTGAAATTTATAAAATCTTTCACTTAAAACATTTTTTTTCAGAAAAATAGGTTTCTCGTGTCCATTGGCTATTATTGCTATTTCAATATTAATTGTAGTTTCCTTCCTAACCTTTTATTTGAAATAGTATGGAGCATCACTATCTTCATTATGTCATTATTTTCTTTTAAATTACATGTAATATCCATTTTATTTGTTGGTGTATAATAGTAATATTAAACTTCACTACAAAAAAAAAACATTTAGCATTCATTGACCGAGCAGCCAGAGTAATGTCAGTTAAAATTTATAAAATCTTTCACTTATAATAATAATAATTTTTCAGGAAAATAGGTTTCACAATTCTAGTAGCTGTTATCGCTCTTTCCAATATTGATGAGGGTTATCTTTGTAACCTTTATTTGAAGTAGTGTCGAATGTCAGCGTTTTGATTATGCATTTAACTCTGTCCATGATTTCTTTTCTCGCACTTCTTACTTGTGGAACTCTCTTCCGGCTTCTTGCTTTCCAATCAACTTTGGTCTTCAAAAATTTAAATGTAATGTCAATCGTTATGTTCTGTCCTCTTAAATTCTGTTCTTCCCTCTGCTTAATAATATTTTTCTTATATTCTTTCACACTCAGTAACCAACCTGTATGTTAGTGGCTCTGTTGCCTTGCTTGGGGTGAACTGAATTTTTAAAAAAATATAACAAAAACCAAATCACTTAAGGAATTTCAACAGCAGCAACAACTAAAATGGATAGCACAGGTAGCTCAAAGAAAAAAAATGACATAATCAAGATGTTGACATTCCACACTCCTTTAGGCAAAAGGTTCGGAAGGAAACTCCCATCAATACTAGAGAGAGCAATAACAGTTATTGGACTTGAGAAACCTATTTTTCTGAACAAATTGTTTTAAATGATTTTTTTTCAAATTCAACCGAATGTAGCACTGGCTGCTAGGTCAATGAATGTAAGATGTTTCCTTATAAGGAAACGGATAATATTACCATCGACCGATATTACGGCTACTTCAGTTATTCTCCTGCTGAAATTATGTTCTATAATAATAAGAAGAAGACGACGAAGAAGAAGAAAAAATGATTGTTTATTTCGTTTTCTACGGCTTTGCAACCCTTTGCAGGTTATTTAAAGCCAGAAAATGTTTTTAAATTGTAATTTTGTTTATTTTATATAGTGATGGTTTAGTGATACAGTACTTACTAATTAACCCATAGCTCGGGGATAAGAAGTGAAGTCATACTTTTCCCAAGAGTAAATGAATATAACGAACCCAACGGGAATTGGAACTCAGCTCTCCAGTTAACAATTTCGAGTCGTTATCCATTACACTACCTGCTCATCCAAACTTACAGCACCTGATATTCTCAAAGGGACCAGACTAGACGTTGCTTAACTTCGGTGATCGTACGAGAAACGATGTTTCAACGTGATGTGGTCGTAAGCAAGAAGAAGAAGAAAAAAGAAGAAGAAGAAGGGGAAGAAGAAGAAATAGAAGAAGAAAAAGAAGAAGAAGAAGAAGAAAAAGAAGAAGAAAAAAAAAGAAGAAGAAGAAGAAGAAAAAGAAGAAGATTATTAGAAGATAATAAGAAAACACTCAGAAATGAAGGGAATGTTAGTGTTTAGAAAATGAAACTATTACTGATTTAATATGAGTATTCTACGTATGGTAATGATAATGATGAAATCAACTGTTTCCTTATAAGGAAACATTCGTCATTCATTGACCGAAGAGTTAGTGTTACAATCAATTATAATTTATGAAATCCTGTTACCTGTTTTCTACTATTGAGGGAAGTTCCTTTCCTAACCTTATATTAAAGATATCGTTTTTAAAAATTTAAACGTTATTTTTCATGGATACCCATATTTGAGTAGACTCTCTGTTTATTTTTTAAACAGTATATTTATTTCGTCTACCGGCCTGAACATTCCCCAAAAATGAGCCCTTTAGAAGGATTGGAACCTGCATCCTCCTTTGCAGGAGAAATCGTCGTTTGATCTGTCGTGTTCGGATCTAACAATGGTTCGACATTTAAAATAATAAAAATATGTCGGATTAATAAATTAAAAAAACCATTTAGAAATTGTGTGGAAAGTCAACAGCTTGAATATATAATCATTTTCTCTTCTAGTTACATATGCTACCCATTCTCGTTATTGCTACTGTTGGAAGTCTTAAAGTGGTGTGGTTTTTATTATTTAGTTTGATATTTTGTAGCGCCAATCTATAGGTTGTCACGAAGGATCACCATCTTTAAAAATCAAAGGATTCATTCACTTGAAGCCATTTTTAATAATTGATCTGAGTAATCGGTTGTATGACTCAAATGAATTGCTTATAGTTTTACTGTAAATAAACTTTCCTGGGAAATGCATTGAAAACCAGGAAAAGGATTTTCATTGATCAATAATTAGGAATAATGTTACTGACTGAAATATTGCATATAAAAACACCATTTCTGAGGATCCCACTTTTCACATGACCGACCTAAATTTGACTTTATGGCAAATTTTCTCAGATTAAAATAAACAGACAAAGATGCTCAGGGGTGCGCTCTTGGGACGTGATAGACTTCGCGTGGCCAACTCAATCTGGAAATTGAATGCCTTTTAAATGGAATGGTATGCCCGTAAGTATGGAAGCAATTTGGAAAATGAAGACATCTAATGAAAATTCCAACCTTCGGACTCTTTGGCATGTAATGTATCTTTTTTTCTATTGTGATGTTTTGCGGCATTGCATGCGTTTAGCGAATCTTGAGTGTTTCAGTGTAATTCTACACCGGAGATCAGTTTTTGATTGTATTTTTAATTCCTTTTATTAAAATCACAAGGAATATCGCCTGTAATATCACGGGTAAGATTTTTCCAGAACTATCATTCATTATTCATTCTAATGAGTATATATATATATATATATATATATATATATATATATATATATATATATATATATATAAAAAATTTCTCAGAGTTAATCTGTAGAAAAAAAAAGACAATATTTATATAAATATAAATGACAATAGGAAAACTGTAATATTTGCCGACGCGTTTCGTCTAATGTGGACTTTCTCAAGGCAAAAAACGAAATGAATTTATTTAAACAAAATAACTAATAATAACAAAATCAAAATGTCCTTAGCAACTGGAAGAATTTAGAGAACGCTATTTTCATACTGTTAACTGAAAATTACGTCATTTACTGTCGCATGTGGAGATATTGTTATTATTTCTGTGTTGAAGCAGGCATTTATAAAATAAATTACCAAAACTGTTTCTTCCAATATATTGGAGAAACAAGTAGAAATTTCAAAAAAACGCATTTATAAGCACAAAAGAGACCTCCCAAAAAACAACTTAGCTAATGCACTAGTCATACATAGAAATAAATTCAACCACAATTTTGATTTTAAAAATGCTACACTCATAAAAAAGAAAATAACTCACTCAGAAGGAAAATCCTCGAGAGTGCCGCCATTGAATATTACCCAAATATTAATCTACGCCCAGGCTTATATATATATATATATATATATATATATATATATATATATATATATATATATATATATATATATTAGTGTGTTTGTAGGATGTATAGTATCCGAAACAAAAATGAACATGATGAAACCAAGTGGAAATTAGTTTTTTATCAAAGACGCGTTTCGCCGGCGGAAAAAATGCGTGTTCTCTTTGTCTGATTCGGTTTGATAATGATAGAAAGACAAAAACATCACGGGGAAAATATATGTGGGGATCTCTGAGGAGAAGTGAGCATCATGGGTCAAATTTATTGCTCCAGCTTATCACCTCATTATTTAGGCTTGAAGTGGGTCTCTTGTTAGATTTTTAGATCAAGGAGTTTTTTACTATTGTTTTATTTTTTAAGCATATATATATATATATATATATATATATAAGATTACTGGTCAGAGTTGAAACAGACCAGGAAGCAGTAGTATTAAACAGTGCTCAATACGCGTGTGAAAAAAAATATGAATCAATAATAGTAAAACATAGCATATAGAGCATTTAACTTTAGAAATTAGGAGGCCAACGAAAATACGCGACCTTGGTTTCGATCTGATGGTCTCTTCGGGTAATATTTTTTAAAATGACCACCTTAACGCTTTATTTAAAAAAAAAACACAAAGACATGCATACATATATTTTGTCTTCCTTTCATCATCAAACTGAAGATTTTACATTTTCCCCCGTGACGAAACACGTATTTGATAAAACAATTTACAATTTGACATCAGTGTCTCTCTCTCACACACACAAAGACACACACACACACACACACACACATTTTAAAACTTTGGAAATAACAAAATCAAAAGTAAAAGAAACTTGAGCGAAGACACCAAAAACAAAGAGATAGAAAGGAAACAAATAATATGAACTATTAAAGGACATAAAGCCACTGAATAAGGGCTCAATAATCTAGAAAATTCCAGCGAGCGAACAAACTTAGATGAAAACTGAAATCCAAGCCCTAAACTTCGATGTCATGTCTGACGATCGTTTCAAAACATAAAACTTGATGTTAAAAACGACTAACAAGGTACTGCGATTAAGTTTTTTATTTAATATTTCTTGTCTACGTACAAATGTTTTCTTTTCTGGTCACACTACTACATGCCTATCCAGATGACTTACGTTACACCTAACAGACCGTAGCTTGATTAGGGCTAATTTAAACACCCACAAAACCTACCAGACCCCACCCAAAACATACTAGTAGAAAATACATGCATAATAACATCATCCGTATGTAAAAAAAGATTAAAAATAATAGAAGCCCTAATAATAAAAAAAGAAAAAGTCAACACTCAACAACATTAACAGAAAGGAATCTTCACTTAATTGACACATATCCTTTAAGCCCAACAGAATGAGGTCTTCCCTTAACTGATACGCATTCTTTAAGCCCAACAGAATGAGGTCTTCCCTTAACTGATACGCATCCTTTAAGCCCAACAGAAAGAAGTCTTCTCTTAACTGATACACATCCTTTAAGCCCAACAGAAAGAAGTCTTCTCTTGACTGACACGCATCCTTTAAGCCCAACAGAAAGAAGTCTTCTCTTGACTGACACGCATCCTTTAAGCCGAATAGAAAGAAGTCTTCTCTTAACTGATACGCATCCTTTAAGCCCAACAGAAAGAAGTCTTCTTAACTGATACGCATCCTTTAAGTCCAACAGAAAGAAGTCTTCTCTAAACTGACACACATCTTTTAAGCCCAACAGAAAGAAGTCTTCTCTTAACTGATGCACATCCATCCAGCCCCACAAAAAGTAGTTTTCTCTTAACTGATACACATCCTTTAAGCCTAACAGAAAGAAATTTTCTCTTAACAGTTACAACAGATATTGGATGTTGACGTGTAGAATTAAATTCAGCAATTTGTTGAGGAGTTTTTTTCTTTTGTTTCTTTTGCTAGACATGATCAAGTGTCTATCGTCCGCAATAGATGTTACTCTGGTCTTACCAGATATTTTTCTGTCAATATTTGCGCCGGTTTCTACATATCGCAAGAGGCAATGATGCATACCGTTTTTGATATTTGTAATTTTCTAGCAATCTGACATTTGGAATACTCTTCTATAGAAAGAATTTACACTTAGATTTTTTTTTCAATACTAATCTGCTTAGTTCTTGGCATTTGAACGGTTTCTGAAAATTAATTTCAATCACACATTTATCTAGATGGAATTGAATCTCTACCAAGCAGTGGAGTTGAAATATTTGTAAATTTCTGTTCTACAGAAAAGGTATCAGGTTGTAACAAGATTCTTAAATCTTATGCAAATAAATTTATAACGCTTGTAGAAAAATTTGCTTGAATTTTATATAAAGGTTTGCATATTGTAATGACAAGAGGACGTGGGTAAGCTTTAAGAAATCTTTATTCAACTGAGATTAGAAGATTATAGTGTTCTTTTATAGTCCCAGTAAACAGAAATTGCACCCTCAAAGAGGAGAGTAACAAAACAAGGGGAGATCACTCTTGATTATTCATAACACATACATACACAATAGGTGAATTTATTTATCCAAATATACAAAATTAGCCTTTTTTATGATTTTAGAGAAACAATTCAGGGTTGTCCCAAACTTCTGATTGGTAGTGCATAGTCACAATAAGTGTAGTGGACACAATGTTTCTAGTTTTATCACCACTGCTCACTAACTTTACCTCTATTCCAGCAATGCCTTGCACGACATTGTTCACTTTCTGCAATAAAATTAAACGAGGGAAAAAGAGATGCTTAAACCACATTTTTTTACCTAATATTTCTTTCAGTGCGTTTTAGCAAACACTCATTATCGCTCGTAATCACGAAATTAACGCAATCATTGCTGACAAAATAGGGTTATAATGTGTATAGTTTTAATGCATTGCTAATTATTTCACGATAAAAAACAATCTTGAAAATTTAGAAAAATTAGCTTGCTTGTGATCAGGCATTCAGAGCATCGTCATCAACAGAATAGGGCTATTTTATTACTGTCAACGTTATTTTTAGTGGATACACATATTTGGGTAGAAGCATCGTTTATTTTTTTTAAACGGTATATTTTCATCTACTGGCATGACTATTCGAGAAATCTTATTAAAGAAAAAAGATGCGCCCTCCGGCAGACGAAAATAAATAAATATACTGTTTAAAAATAAACAGAGCATCTATTCAACTATGGCTATTCACTAAAAAATAATGTTTAAAGTGATAAAATCTGTCGGATTAATAAATAAAAAATCCATTACATCGTTAGCCATTTACATTATTTAACCTATGATGTCATTGTTAGGGTTTATTAGACAAACACGTTAAAAAATTTATTCGTTCTACAAAGAAGAAAAAGCATATATAGAAATTAAACAGATGCCAAAATTTCCATAGCGCATTTATCGTTTGAACAAATACGGCGAATAAATAAATTTAAAACGTTGATCTCTCGAATTCTTATCTATTCTAGAAAACTGATGTCAATATTAATTCATAAGCTTATGTCAATATTAATTCATAAGCTCTGCTAAGGATGTATGTGCGATGTAAAGTTTAATGACTTGGAAAAGCGAAACAGGCGAGGCGAGTTTAAAAACCGTCCGAATTCGTCACGATCAATTTTTTCGCACTAATAGACTTTTTTTACAGTGATGTTCAAGCTATACAAGGCCTGGGAGTCACTCGAAGTAGAGGCGAAGTTTATGTGGGGAAGATAATGGTTAACCCTAGACTTGAATAGGTTAGGTTTGTAGTGATCGGGGAAACATCATCTTGGGAGTTGGTTCCACGGTGCAGTGGTTGACGGGAAGAAGTTATTCTCGCCAGTAGAATACCAAGAGGATGATGGTGGCTCACTACAATGTATGTAGAATGACGGGTCTTAGCCGCGAACGTTAGCAATGGTGGAACTAAGGAATGTAGTTCTTCTGAGCACTTTCAATGGAAATAGCAATAGAGCAGTGGGAGGCTCGCGATGTTTCGTCTGTGAGAAAGTTGTTTTAGGGTGAAAAATAATTCATCACCCAAAAGGATGCGGAGAGAATTTTAGACTCTATCTCGACTGGAAAGGGAAGACTGGGAAATAGCTCCTGTTCATATATAGCAGCAGTATTCTATTTCCGGACTGATCTGGTTGGGAAAAGTATGGGTTCATCCCTGACTGGCCTGTTTTGGCAACTACTTTAGAGTAAAGGAAAACATTGAACTCAAAAACAAGTTGAAGAGGGGATGGACTCCATCGAGTTATCTTGCCGGCGATACGACACTATTGTTATGGCAGCAGTATATGTGGCGACCCTTCGACTCGTTACGGTACCCATGACGTGACGAAGGGTGCCTAGATTGTAAGAAAGTTTTGTTTTCTTTTTTCATTTTTGAGACATAAGTATTTTGATTACACCCACCACACACACACACACAAAACATTGCAAATGATATGCGCGCGCATACGCGTATGTGTGTGCGTGCGTGCAAAACTAATGTATTTCTAAGTTATAAATAATCTTTAAAATGCTACAACGTAGCATGGGATGTGCGGGCGGTGTAATGGATAACGATTCGTAATGAGAAATCCAAGAGCCGAGTTCGAATTCCAGTCGGCTTTGTTATATTCATTCACGAGCAAATACCCTTGTGAAAGATATAAATCCATCTCTTCCCCACTCGAGCTATGAGTTGAATAACAGGACAGACCAGGTTTTATCGCCTTGGTTGGCAACCAGTCTACCGCAGAAAGAAATGGCAACCTACAAAGGGAAAGATCTTCTGCCTAGTCAGTCATGAATCGAAAGAGACATGATCGCTCAAGCGTGTATCATGTATGCTACTTAACTGACTAGATTAACAGTCAGCTCTCATCATTTTCCTCTTGAGGTTTCAGGTGACTGACAACGTATATATTCCATTATGCAATTGAAACAATATCTTGCGGTTGCTCACCGTGCAAATGATGCAATACATATCACTATTGCGACGTGAGCGCTTGACATTGGTATTTGATAATTTTACAACCAAATTTTGATCTGAATTTTTTCTAAGTTTCTGTCAATCAATCTGTAAGTTGTTTACTAAAAGTTCGGGAAGAAAAAGAGTGCCAAGAAGTAAGAAAAAATATCATATGCGCATTTAGAAATATGAAGAAACTGCCTTCATAAATAAAACAGCTTCGGCGTTTTCATTCGAAGTTAAAAGCTATCTGGTGTATAGAAGAGTAAATTACAGAGTTCGAAATCCTGTATTTTTTATCACCATAAAAAAATAGGATTATCAAGGCAAGATGACATGCCATTTTACAGAACATTGGTACAACACAATCTTCCCATTTTTGCATTTTCAACTTTCTACATGACAAATCTCAGTTTTGTAAACACCCAAAGTTGAATTAATTTTAGAAGGCCGACTATTTGAAAGGAATTCTCATAAAGATTTGAAATACTTTACCACTAATTGATGTCAGTATCTGAAATTTATTACCATGTTAATTTTAGTTGAGGTTTTTACTTTCGAAGAAATGTTAGTCTTTCAAGTCAGTGGGCAAGAATGTTTCAAACGATGATGTTTTAACGATTATTTTTACACGAAGATAGATAGATAGATAGATAGATAGAGAGAGAGGGGGAGGGAGAGATTTGAACAGGCTGAAACAAATCTAGATATGAACAGTGAATCAGATAGATAGATAGATAGATAGATAGATAGATAGATAGATAGATAGATGTGAACAGGCTGGAACAGAGCTAGATATGAACAGAATGAATCAGATAGATAGATAGATAGATAGATAGATAGATGAGCAAACTTAGAGAGAGAGATGAACACGCTGGTAAATTTATTTACTTTTATTTTATTACCATTTTGTTCTGTAATCGTTTACCATTTTTAAGCATATTCCTCATTTCTCCCCCCGCAAACACAATTTCCTTCAATGTTGCTTAGCAAAGATCCGCTCTTTGATACTTTTTTCAGCCTTCCAGACGTTTTTTTTTTCTTTCATTAAGACAATTCTGTAAAAACCAAAATGATAAACGGTAAACCGAAAGTGCTATATTTCATGAATATGGCGGATCTGTGCAAAAATCTCAGCCAAACTTTAAGAATTTTCCTCTGCTAACTAAAGAAACATCTAGTCACGCGTTATTATGATTGAATATTATGTCTTTCCTCTTGACTAATTTTGAATACATTTCCTCATTTACTGCTTTGGCTGATCTAATTAAAAACAGAAATTCTCCAATAAATAAGCTCATAGTTGTCTCCCTTCCAAACCTTATTATATACACATCATTACTTTCTTACGTTAAAGGCTGGATTTTAGTCAGAAGTATGTGAAAGTTCATTTTGTTTCCCCCATTAATTTCATGCGTCTACATTGTAATAAAGTATCCACTTTTCATCACCTATTAAAGTAAGGGAGTACAGAATGTTTCCATAATTTTCATTGTCCCAAGCGCTTTCAGCCACTTCTTTAGATCGGAATAAACGCACCTATTCAAAACAACGCAAAAATAAAATGCAACTTAAACAGTCAAAACATGAGGAAAAACAAACAACACCAAAAACAAAATCCCTTGAAAATAGTTTTAAAAGTGTCTGAAAGCGCTTGGGACAATGAAAATTATGTAAATTGTCTATAATCCCTTACTTCCACAAAACGGAAAAAATGTAAGAATTCTGGAAAAACGAAATAAAAAATTATTAAACCTTCCTTGTCTGGCATATTTAATGAAATATATATATATATATATATATATATATATATATATATATATATATATATATATATATATAAATGAAATAATAATTAAAAAAAACGAAAGAATATTAATCTACAACCCAGTGTGTCTGAAGATTTTATTTTTTATATTTTTTATTGTTCAATATATATATATATATATATATATATATATATATATGAAAAACGATATCAAGAATAATTTGAGGGAAATCTAAAATCTATCAGGTCATCCCATAAGTTCTGTCCGAATTTTAACTTTTTGTTAAAATGAACGAAATTTAATTAGTATTTTATAATGTCTAATGGAGCTGAACATTATTTTTGTTTAGATGCATTTAAACTGATCAAATTTTAGTTCAGAGTACAATAAAATTAAATTTTGTTTGATTAAAACCCTGCTAACATGGAAGTACCCAAGAATCATTTGAGGCACATAATGATTTATGAGTTCAAGAAAGGAAACTCAGCAGCCGAAGCGGCTAGAAACATTCACTCAGTTTATGGTGAGGAATGTGTGATTGAAAGAACTTGCAGAAGATGGTTTGCAAAATTCAGAGGTGGAGATTCCACCCTTGAAGATGAAGATCGAACCGGACATCCAGTTGAGTTTGATGAAAAGCTTCTTGAAGTAGCCCTTGAAGAAAATCCTGCTTTATCAGTTGAGGATTTGGCAGTGGTTCTCAGTTCAAACCATGCAACTGTTCATCGTCATCTTCAACATCTTGGAAAAGTTCCTAAACTTGGAAAATGGGTGCCTCATGAATTGTCTGAAAACAACCTCAAATCCCGAGTTGACATCTGCTCTTCTCTCCATTCTCGCCAACTTGTTTCACCTTTTTTGGATAGATTTGTGACTGGCGACGAAAAATGGATCTTTTATCGAAATGTTAAGCGTCGTAGACAGTGGCTTGGTAAAGAGGTAGGACCCCAGCCACAGCCGAGAAGGGAACTTCATGAGAAAAAGGTTCTTTCAATCTGGTGGGATCGCCAAGGAATAATCCACTTTGAATTCTTACCACCTAATGCAACAATTAATGCTCAAATATACTGTCAGCAATTAGAGCGTTTGAACCAAGCTTTGAGGAAAAAAAGACCTGCTCTAGTGAATCGAAAAGAGGTGATGTTTCATCAGGACAATGCGCGACCCCACAGAACAGGAATCACGTCACAAAAGATCGAAAAACTTGGTTGGGAAAAAATTCCTCATCCACCTTATTCTCCCGATCTTGCTCCTTCAGATTACCATTTGTTTCGTAGCTTACAGAATCATTTGGAAGAAACAGCTTTTGTAACACAGGAAGAGGTTAAAACTGACATTTGTGAGTTCTTCGAATCAAAGCCAAAAGAATTTTACAGTAATGGAATTAGTAAGCTTGTTAATAGATGGAAGAAAGTCATAGATAATCAGGGAAAATACATTGTTGATTGAATCTGTAATTAAATGTAACATTTGGTCACTTGTTTGCTTTATTCAAAATTCGGACAGAACTTATGGGATGACCTGATATAAGAAAGGGGAGAAGGGTTTTGTGTGACGCGTTTCATCCTTTAGGACTTCATCGGATTAAAGTGATCTTCATGTGGATGCCAGCACAGAGGCGCACGAAAAAAAGGGAATGCTGAGAATTTAATTTTTTTTATTTAAATATGTGTTTCACGTATATAGTATTACCGATTTCATTTAGTTTCTTTTTTCGTTTTGTTTATGCTTTTATCACTTCTGTTATTAAATATTCCACATTGTGATAACACAAGTTATTGATTGGGCCTTCATCACAATAGGAAGAGAGGAGTAGATGCGATCATGCATTTAAGTATTGCATTAATATTTAAGCTTACCTTTTAAAAGTTCAACGATAATTTTTTTTTACGCCACTTAATTTAAATAAAATTTGATGCACGTAGGTCCTTACTTTCCGTAGAAACAATTATTTTTATTTCATGGGTGACTGTCGCTGGATTTCGCAACTAATTTCGATTATTGCCAAATTTATTTCCAAATTATAAAAATTGTTATCGTACAAAAATATCCGTTGCCAAAAAAAAAAATCACGTATAAAAATCACCGAAAACAATCGCAGTAATGAAAACTTAAGAATAAAAAAATTCAGGATTGCGGGTCCGAATCCGGCCTGGAATATTTTTAATTTACTCACGGAATCGGTCTGATTTCAAAATGGTATGATATGTTGGACTACAACTTCTAGGAGTAAAATTAAAAATCGTGACTCAGTAACACACTGACGTTATTTATTATATAGATAAAAAGTTTCAAATTCATTTGTTCGACTTATCACTTACTAGCAGCATGGCCCGGCGTTGCCCGTGCTTGATTCAAAAATCGTACGACTCATACAGCAATCGCTAACACTTGACTTAAAATATTTTTGCCCTTCCTTGCCTTTAAACGAGTGCCCTTTGCCGTGCTGATGTTGCTACATTCCTTACTTCTTGCCTATCTCACACTTAGAATTTTTTTCTAAGCTCTATACTAAACATTAAATCTGTTACGAAAAAAGAACTAAATAAAATGAACACAAAACGATCAGATTTAAAAAAGAACTCGTAACTGGAAAAACCGAATGAAAAAAGAATGTTAACAACAAATACTTTTTCACACCCAACCCAGTTCTGCGGAATCAGAATCAACATTGAGTTTAAGCAAGCGAATGAGCCAACTGGAGTAAAGTGCCATGCAGATTTAAATTTTTCCCACTTGTGACGAATGCATCTATCGATTTTTTTTTTTTTGCATGCTAGCATGCTAGTTAAAATTCGTGTCAGTCAGCTGTTGGCTCTCACGCTGGCCAATAGAATCTTCCTGCCTATTCGTGCCAGCCAGCTTTTGGCTCTCACTCTGGCCAGTAGAAAATGGCCGCAAACTACATCAAAACTGCCGTAGAAGCATGAAAAAATCGATTATTTCCACTATCGATGGGAGTTGGGAAATGCAAAGTCGGTCTTGGCCTTTTCTCTAACTTGGAGCATGTGTATGTAAATTTTGGTGCAAATCCGTCGAAAATTGCGGCCGTGCATTCGTAACACACACACACACACATCCTGCCTTTTATAGATAGAGATTTATTTCTAGCAATCCCTGAGTAAAAAAATATGGTAAGTAATATTAAGCTTTTAGTGTCCATTGTTCCACAAGTGGAACATGTTTTAAGGCATTGTTTTATAACATGACGAATATTTATTATTTTATCGTTAATATACACGAAAAGTATAATATGTGCTTACACATCGTGTTAAAATATATTTAATACTCTTCTGGTATCAAAAAAAGTTCCACTGGTGGAACAACAGCACAACAAAGGTTAAGTGGATTAGAAGTGTTTTGCAGCTTCAACTCACTTCGTCCCCCCCCCTGCCACCTTGAACATTAAGTTAATCTTTCTTTCTTTTTTATGTGCCATGTCCTTTCAAGGCGTAGACGATCATGACTCTCCACCTTCTCCATATCTTGAAGCTCTCAAAAAGTTCCTTCCCTCTGCTTCCTCCCCCACACCACGTTCTGTCATCCACTGCTCAAGCTCGCCAGGTATGTCACGCGCTACTTTCTCTTGTCTCTCTTTCCCTCTATTCGACCCGTGAGTATCAGATTCTCCGGGCCCTCCTTCCTCATTATGTGTCCCAGAAACTTCAACTGTCTCTTCCTGATGTTAAGTATATGCCTTCTCCTTGTTTGCAACCTCTCTAAGACCTCATCGTTGCTCACATGCTCGGTCCATGATATCCTTAGCATCCTTCTGTAGAATCTCCTCTTCATCTTTGAGGAAATCGTCCAACATTCGCTGCCGTAAAGAAGAACAGTTGTCACTTAACAGCTCAGTATTCTTTTCTTTGTTATCAAAGATATCCTCCTGTCTCGCAATACTCTGCCCAGCTTTTGGAATGCGTCCTTGGCCATCCCAATACGTCTACGGATCTCATTGTCGCACTTACTGTCCTCTGTCAAGACGCTTCCCAGATATTTAAACTTCCGTGTCTGTTTGATTCTAGTGTTCCCGTCCTGCAAATCGCATTTCGGGTTCATCCTCTTAAATGCATTCTGTCATTTTGTAATTTATGATTAGTCCTTTCTTCTTACTCTCCGTTGCTACCTTCTGTAGGAGATTTTATAATTTAATCCTACCTAGCTCTAAAATCAATGGTCACAATATAGGACTTGAAAGTGTATTATTATCATTTTCCATTGATAGAAAAAAGGATTCATTAAAAGATATGCAACTTTTTATTATACATTGTTTCTATTATCAAAAATCATGTTTAAAATACAAAGAATGTATTTATATACAAATATACGTATGTCTGTATGATGGTTGTCTCAAGAGTCATCAAAACGGAAACCATTGCAAGTGATACGAACGGTGAGGAGGCATGTCTTATCTGAGTTAGATGTGGCAACCACCATGTATGTATGTATGTATGTATGTAGCCATAAATTTACATCTGATAAATGTGGTAGAATATATTTCTCCAAAGCAGGCCTTGTTAATCACAAGTTAT